GACCTTCAGTCAATTCTTGTGTGAGGCCTGGGCAGAAAGTTAATTCAGAACAAATAGTAACTCACGTTGGTCAGTTTACTCTTATTTTTAGGCTTTTAAGGAAATGGTTGGTTTCGCTAGTAGCTCTGAATAGAGAACCTTCTGTTTCATTCTAACATCCCACTTTCATCCGAACATCTCTATTCTCTTTGTTTAGAAACCAAATAGAGGCAGAAAGATAATACGTGAGGAAGGACATACTGTTTATAAGCACTATGTTAACTCCTTGTCTTCAGGGACCCTCAGATAGGGAAAAGTGGCAGTTAGAGTCGAGCTTGCCTATAGATACTTGAGTTGAAGGGAAGTGAAGTTTGTTTCTGGGTGCCTGTGTATGAGTGAGAGTGAGTGTATGTTTTTTTTTTTTTTTTTCATGAACTTTGTATCCTTCACCATTGAAGAAAAAACTCTCAAGAATACACACACACACACACACACACACACACACACACACATTCTGGTCCTGGGATTAGAGAGATGGCTTCACAGTTAAGAGCATTTGTTCCTCTTGTAGAAGACTAGGGGTTGGTCTGGTTCCCATTACCCACGTGGCTGCTCATAAGCATTGGTAACTTTGGTTTTACGGGATCGGATGCCCTCTTCTGGCCTCTGCAGGCACTGCAGGCATGTAAGCACTTAGAAACTTGCAGGCAAAACACAAAAAGTAAAACTAAATAAATCTTAATACAAAAACCTTGAGTCCTTTAAAAAAAAAATGACTGTTAAGTAATCTTACAGGAAACAACAGGTTCTCAGGAAAAATAATGATTTACTTTTGCTAAATCTACTAGCCCCAATTCATTTGCTCTTAAGAGCTGCATAATCTATTCAAATGAACTAAAGCTTTTAAAGTCAGTCTTCAAGTGAAAACAATTTATCCAGTCCCCAGGAGAATTTTTTTCCCTTGTGTTGTATTGCTTCCCATGACTGACATTTATTTGACCCTCAAGTGTATTTACATTGTTGGCTTAACTGGGAGTTCATTGCTGAATCAATAATGGGCTGTATTTTTTTCCTTTTTTTTTTGTTTTGAGTGGTGTGAATATTATTACTATTCCCTTTTTGCTCCCCCCTTAATTCCTTGCAGTTACCAATTTTTTCTTTGGTTTGTGAAAAAATTTTCCTCTAAAATTTTGAAGAAACAAAGCAAAGGTGTTTTGAATCTTCCGGAAAGTGTATGCCTCTTTAAAGTTTATTTACGTCATAACTTACTATAATGAAGAATGAAAGCTCTAGACAAGGTCCCCTGCTTCTAGGCAGTGTTAAAGGCTATGTCTCCTGGAGGCCAGCCTACAGTTTTTTTTTTCCCTCTCTCCAAAGTTTGTAGCTCACTGCCTGATCATCTCTTTCCAAGGGGGCATGGGAGGGGGGGCTTCGAACTAGAGCAGGGTGGGAATCTGACCTATTGTGACCACTCAGAGGTTCTGGCATGGAAAATTCCCTGTATGTGGCAAAAACAAACATTTGAAATGAAGGCAAAAACCAGGCTTAAACAAAGAATGAAACTCATTCTCCTTTCAACTCTCCTGCCGATAAACATATGTGCTCAGTCTTTTGTTTCCCGGACATCAGGTTTCCATTATTTGAACAGAACTCCTACCTGAATCTGTCCAGAGCATAAGGCAGATATTTTGCTAGTGTTTCAACCCATTAAAGCAAAGGATGCACTACAATGGTGCCCTCAAGTCTTTGGAGCTTACTGTACTTTGCAGGCTATGCTAAGCAACTCTCACCAGTTCTATATGCTTATGTGTTGTAGGATTCACTTTATTATCAATGGAGAGACAGATGTCACAAGCTGTCTGCTTCTTGTGACAGTTGTAGGTTTGTCCCGTGTTACTTGTGATCATGTCTTTTTCCTTGTTCTACCGAACTCCATACCTATGTGCTATGTACCGAGGACAAGGATCACTTCTTCTGCTTGCAACTTGACAGGCAATGGAGCTCACTGCTGTACTACCATTGTCCCACTCCCTGCACCATTGAAGAATATGATCCATAGGATCATTGGAATTTCACAGTCCTTTGTAGTGTTGTGGGTTACCTGAAGATCTGCATTAACTATCGAAAATTTCCCAGTTACACATTTTTTCTTCCCTGGTCTCCATTTTGCTAAAACGTTTAAGAACACTTTCCCTTGCAAAGCAGCCCTTCAAACTTTCTTCTCCTTTGGCGCTTTTGTGACAACTTCTTAACTGTCAGCTACGGGATTATCTGTAAATGCTACATGTATCCCCTTTGCTCAGCGAAAAGGTGAGATGAAATGAGCAACCAGCAGTGTAGAGATGAAAATAGATGAGCCCTGACGTGAGTTTCCTTTTTGTTGAAATTCACATGTCTTCATAATAGCCATGGGACCTCAGAGAATTTACTTAAACTCTGTGCCTCTGTGTTTCCTGATTTGTAAAGAGGAAATAATATTAACACTTTATACAGGCATCTGCTGTGTGTTGGGCGTCATTTTAAGTACTCTAAATATAGTTCACTTAATTCTAGTAACTTCATGATATGAATAATTAATATCATCCCAATTTCTCAGATGAGACAGTAGATACATTAAGAAAGAAAGTCATGTGACTTCATTCATAGAATTAAGATGGGGCAGAAATTGGCTTAGGAACCAAGGGGTTGGACTTCCAGTGTGTTAAAGCACCTCTTTGTTGAAGTACTGAACACAAAGTACACAGCACAATATTAGGCACAAAGCACTTCCTGACAGTTGGTGCTATCGTTCTGGACTGTACTGATTTTCTCACTTGCTGCTGCTGGATTGGGTGAAGGTGATCATCCTTCCACGATACAAATCGGGGAAATGATCAGAATAGCAGCAGCAGCAGCAGCAGCAGCAGCAGCAGCAATCTTGAGTAGCAGCTAATTATCCTTTAGCTTGTTGCTATATATTTGAGCTACAATTGTTACTGAGTCAAATGAAAAGAGGGACTAAGTGTTCAAACCTTTTATTGTCAGAAGGAAATTTTATCTGTCCTATCCCTAACCTTACAGCAGCAGGGCAACCAAAGTGTTTCAAAGCAAGGTAGAAAACTTAAAAGTTGTAGAGTTCAAGTAAAATTGCTACCATTCTTTAATAAATGGGTAAAAATTTCAAAATGTCCTGAAGGCTGTAAAAGATGTTTGTGAACAAAGACTGCTCCTGGAATAAACCCTCTACACTCCCTGTTCCTTAACTTGTTTTAGAATGCTGTGATCAAGAAAACAGAAAAAGAAATTTTTGCTAAAAATTGGTCTCTTAAAGTAAGGCACCGAGTTTAAAATTCTCCAACACATTTGTGGAAACTTCATTTTTTTGTTTGAGATTTATTTGAATGAGCTGTTATGATTGGAGACATGAGAATTTCAGATTAATGTTTTGCAGCCAGAAAAAAAAGCCCTCTGGAAAGCTGGCAAGTGTTCATAAGTCAGCCTCAGAATTATGTAGGTTGAAGGCTCCCCAGTGGACAGAGCGAATATATAAGAGGGAAAGCAGAGGTCTGGTGCAGTTGCATCTCAGAGACTAGGGATGGAGGGAGCACAGAACTGAAAGGTCTCTTCAGCCTGAATCTTTAAGGTAAGGCAGAGCAATTTATACATGCTTGAGTTGGGAAGGAAAACATACAGCAATAAGAGATGTTTGTGTGTGTGTCGACGAACATTCATTTTCTTGTATTTTAACACTGCGTTTTGCAGAACGCCTTAATTCTTTAACTGCTGTTTCTCTTACAGGAGTGCGTGTGGGAGCTAAGTAAGCTGATTTATGATAACTGCTTTAAACACTGGCAACTAGTAAGTCTTCGGGGGATATCTTTTTAATTCTCTCATGTTAATTTGGAAGGTCATGCAAAAGAATGGGCGTTTGACAGAAATGTCAGTTTGCCGTTTCTTAGGAAGTTCTCTAGTGGTTACATTCTGAATTGAGTAATTGCTTGTATGTACTTCTAAATTGTCTGGTATAATGGTTTTTCTCTTTGTGTGTTTATCTTTAGTTTTCTTTTGTTTCAAAAGAATATGGTTAGTTTAAAGAAAAAAAAATACTCCCACCTAAACACTGTTAATGCTGGAAAGTAGCAATTATTTAGTTATTAAAACTGAAAAGATAGCAAAGAAAAAATGGCAAGACTATATCATAATTAGTCACTGATGTTCAATTCTAATTTAATTGAACAACCAAAACTATATCTGTTTGGCTGTGAGTCAAGTTTAGTTGCTTTGTTTTCTTTATCTTCTAGTTAAACTGAAAATGGATTTGTTTCCTGTGAAATAGACCAGATTTAAATATGCATATTGAAAACTGGCATTCACTATTAATATTTTGAGGGAAAGGCTTTAGGAAATACATCCATAGCCACAATTTCTTCTTGTTATCATGAAGGTAAAGGGAAATTAAGTAAATAAGTTATTTTCAATTAGCAAAAACTCACCCTGACCCTCTATCCTAACATATTACTGTATATTCTTTCAGTTCTTTGTACATTTACCTATTTTTTCCCATGGATTATGTTGCTCATAGTTTTCATAGCTATAACAATTTGTATATAATACGTTACTTTAATATAGCATTGCTCTATGTAACAGTGGGCAGCAGTGAGATTTCTGGAAAGCTCACAGATGGAGAAATATGCCCCTGTTTTTGAACTATCAAGTTGCTTTGACTTCCTTCTTATTTGTCTCATACAATTCCTATCCTGACTAACTTTTAAGCTATTGATTTCTCTCTCAACATTTCAAGGACATGAGAAGAAAGAAAAAAACATTTTGTTCAGAATTTTCAGTCTAATACTACTGAGAATTTTTTTTTTTCACTCAAGAGATAGTAGTTATTCCTATTTATCAGGCATGGTATTGTTTTATATTTTCTACAACCACTTACATTCTTTTGGCCTTTGACTCATCTTCAAAATGCTTATGACTCAAATATCCCCCAGGCTTTGGATATGCATTAAGCACTATATTTTTCCCCCCAGGGAAGGCGTAAGAGTTAAGAGGAGTCACTGACAATTCAATATGAAGGACAACTTCGGTTTTGCCGCCACCAGCAATAACGTCACCAGCAGTCTTCCTTTTGATAGCCTCAACATGTCTGCCACCAATGAGTCTGCCTTTAACTGCTCACACAAACCATCAGATAAGCATTTGGAAGCAATTCCTGTGCTCTACTACATGACTTTTGTCATTGGTTTTGCTGTTAATATTGTTGTGGTGTCACTGTTCTGTTGTCAAAAGGGCCCTAAAAAGGTCTCCAGCATTTACATCTTCAATCTGGCTGTGGCTGATTTACTCCTGTTGGCTACCCTCCCTCTCTGGGCATCCTATTATTCTTACAGATATGACTGGCTCTTTGGACCTGTGATGTGCAAAGTGTTTGGTTCTTTTCTTACCCTGAACATGTTTGCCAGCATTTTTTTCATTACCTGCATGAGTGTTGACAGGTACCAATCGGTTATCTACCCTTTCCTGTCTCAAAGAAGGAATCCCTGGCAAGCATCTTATGTAGTCCCCCTTGTCTGGTGTATGGCTTGTCTGTCCTCATTGCCCACATTTTATTTCCGAGATGTCAGAACCATTGAATACTTAGGCGTGAATGCTTGTATTATGGCTTTTCCACCTGAGAAGTATGCCCAGTGGTCTGCTGGAATTGCTTTAATGAAAAATGTCCTTGGTTTTATTATTCCTTTAATATTCATAGCAACATGTTACTTTGGAATCAGAAAACACCTGCTGAAGACCAATAGCTATGGGAAGAACAGAATAACCCGTGACCAAGTCTTGAAGATGGCAGCTGCTGTTGTGTTGGCGTTCATCATTTGCTGGCTTCCCTTCCATGTTCTGACCTTCCTGGATGCTCTGGCCTGGATGGGTATCATTAATAGCTGTGAAGTTATAGCAGTCATTGACCTGGCACTCCCTTTTGCCATCCTCCTGGGATTCACCAACAGCTGTGTTAATCCCTTTCTGTATTGTTTTGTTGGAAACCGCTTCCAACAGAAGCTGCGCAGTGTGTTCAGGGTTCCCATTACTTGGCTCCAAGGCAAGAGAGAGACTTTGTCTTGCCGAAAAAGCAGTTCTCTTAGAGAAATGGACACCTTTGTGTCTTAAATCTTTTAATGGGATGCATGTAATCAGCTTAGCTATTGGTTTGGAGGCCCCTCACAAATAATCTCTAAGGGGCATCAGTATAATACATTTCTTTGCCTTAGCTTGTCTTTACTTACTACCCCAGAACAGGAAATCAAGTGTAACTGTAAATTTTTATACTTCACTAACTTTCAGTGGTTGTGCCTTGTTTTACTTGTCCTTTGCCACAAGATTGTCATGGGTGAGCTATATCTATAATCTAGAAGTAACTGGAGCTATCTCAAATATAATTACTAACACATTATGAGTGGTGATTTGGAGTCTCAGATTTCTCCTTGGAAAATGCTGACATTTCTTAGTGGAGTTTTATGTGCATTTTCATCAAAAATTTTTTTTTTGCTTCCCCCTAGAACAAGGGCCAATTTTAACTTCTTACATTGTTCACCATAAAATATAGCATGAGAGGTGAGCACTAAGTTTAGCATGATATACTTTTCTGTGTATTCCTTAGGTTACTAGTGGTTTATCCCGTCTCTCAGTGTATGGTTTCTTCAAAAACAAAAACAAACAAACAAAAAAACAAACAAAAAACAAAAAACAAACAAAAAAATCCCCTGAAAACCCCGTAAACGGTGTTATTTTTCCTTTCACTTGAGTATAGCTTTGTACTTACTATACAGCTACATATTGAATAGGTTTAGGAACGTAGATAAAATTACACGTATGTGTTTTAGCTTATTCTTGCAGTTTTAGAAATGACACTACTTAGTAAAACAGAACTGCATTGAAAATTATTTTATTACTCACTAAACTGAATATATGCTTTGCAAACTTTTAATTCGTTTTGACTATTGTTTAAAGCTTTCTATTCTCCTCTAATGATTTTTGAATACAACAACAAAACACTGTGTATTATTACACTATGTAAAGGTCACGTTTTACATTTTTAACCTTTCCAATGTGGTGCTTTGATGTATTCAATGGTGACTTGAGTTTAATTATTCATGCTTTTGTTCTGGGCTGCATCCCAAGACATCTCTTTGACCCTGAAAAAAAAAGAGGATTCTTTAATTCCTTAACTTTGCAACCAACTGAAAACTGGCATATGAAAAGGTTATATCAGAATGGAATTTTGATGTCTTCTTGGGGGCAAAGACACCAAGCCAATGGCAAGTTTGGTGTCCTACAAGGAACTTGTCAGAGCAAAGATCCCCTCTACCCCCGAGGAGTTTGAACCTGCATCTCTGGGCACAATTCCAGAATGGATAATAGTCTGTGAAGGTGATTTCAATCAAGCGTAGATCCATAGGGCTCATTGCCAGAATGAGTACATCTCTTACATTAGAGGAATGTATCACCTGAAACTGAGTTACCTGACGTTTACTCGGACTCGAGAATGAATATTAATTCAGAAGTTTCACATTTCATTCTATGGTGCCCCATATTATACCAGGTTACCTAAGACCTTCCTGGATCAATGATGACTCATGTGGTAGATTTAAATGTATGGGGACTTAATATTTCTGTCAGGTTACGTGCTTTTAGGTTGAAGAATCCTTTCATACCCCCTCTCTGGAAAACCGTGCTTTTATGTAGTCATATTCTTTTTAGTAAAAACAAATAGCTAAATGTATAATCAGCTATGACTTTGTGTTTTAAATAATTTTACACAAGAGTTCATAAAAATAAAATCCTTATTGGGAGACCATGTGTGCTTACTATTATTTTAACTGTTTCCAGGTGTAGACTCTTACCTTCTCCCAGTCAGTACCCTCCAGCAAACCCCTGTACATACTTCTCAGTTTCAGCCTACATCATTATTCATTCAGGTCAACACTAGACAGGCATATGGAAAGGGGATGTCGGAAATGAATTCTGATACCTCCTGGGGGTTCAGATGACAAATGTGGTGTCAACTGAGGAAGCCATCAGACACAGTAGTGCACTGTGGGCTTCAGCATATAGACTATTTCTTGTCAAAACTCAGCCCATGTTATTTACTCTGCCACAATCATAACTAAGATATACCCTCCCCCCTCCCCTGGGACTTCCCCTAATCCTTTTTGGGATTTTTTTTTTAAAAAGGCTGGGGTTTCTGGGTTCTGGATTCTTTTCCAGAGGGCCCAGTTCAATTCCCAACACCCACATGGCAGTTCCTAAGGGTTTGTAACTCCCGTTTCTAGAGGTTAATACACTTTTCTGGCTTCCACAGGTACCAGTCATGCACATGGTGCATAGACATACATGCAGGCTGAAGACTTACATGAATGAAATAAAATAATAGTAACAACAACAAAACACCTGGCTTCTGCTTTCATAGGAAGCCAGGAGGAGACCCCATGGTATATTTTCCTAGTTTTTCTGAGAATAAGAGATGCCAACCAAACAAGTAATGCAAGAATGTATGAATTCTGACTGATGGTATGTGTATTGGTACACATATCCTCTTTGAAAATATAAATGCCAGGTGACTTTTTGAGATCATGTGTAAAATGTATTCTCATTTAGCCATTTTTTCAAGATTTTCCCCATGAAGTGAACATTATGAGGCAGGAGTTGTTTTGTATGTATTATCCCATTTTGTTCTCACAACTCAGGCATTACCATATTATAAATAAGAAACTGAGGCACAGATCAGCCTTAACTGATATCTAAAAGAGATCAAAATGGGCAACTCCAGAAAAGTATTGTGTCTTCAATATCAGTCTCAAACTCTCAAACAAGTATTGCAGAGATCCTTGTATGCTGTTCCAAACGTAACTGATTCAAGAGTTTCTAGGCAGGTGATGTGCTTGCACATCCGAAGAAAATCGAGGAGGTAGCTAGATAACACTCTCTTCCTTGTTCTTCTGTCTCATGCCCCAGGCCTCATAGAGCCACATGGAGTAATCAGTGTGTTATACACAAAGCAAGGCAAGTTTCCCAAACGTTTCTTTTGCAGAACAAGCACGTTGACCTGGAGTTTATCTCTGATATGAAATTACCTGGGGTTATCAGAGATGTTTCTTGAAACTTACAGAAAATAAATTTTCATTATGAAAGAGAAATATGAATTCCACATCATATTGGCCCAAATCAAATAAACTAAATAGAATCCTCAAAAAAAAAAAAAAAAAAAAAAAAAAAAAAAAAAAGTCGTAATCTTTTTGAGTCCTGCTTGCAAATGTGAAGGTAAGTCTATTCTTGTCTGACTCTGTTGTCACAGGGATCAGAGCATGAATAAGTACCTAGTGGCCTCACTTCTGAACAAGAGAGCTGCAAACTTGACAAGATGAATGAACTCACAGGGAGACTGCACTACAAAAAGACTGGAACAAAAAGTAAAATATATTCGGTTATTTTGCTGATATCCAGGTAAACTGCATGGGCACTGATAATTTATACATCCAACAGAAATGCATTATGTTGTCACTGAAATCTCACCAGTGTTTAAGGACCAAATTGACAAGCTCACTTGTATATACACACACCTACAAAAGCTCAGCATCTTTAGAAAGACACATTCCCTCCCCATGAAAGAATTCTTTCTAAGATGAGAACTAGTAAAATGAGATTGTTTAAAAAATAACACAAATAAATATAAAAGAGAAAAAAGATGAGGACTAATTGGCATGTGCTCCTTATGATAAAATCAGCACTTAATGAAAATTTTAACTATTTAAAATTATCCAGGTAGACATTTTTTTTTTTTATTTTGGTCCAGTCTATTTGGTGTTTAGTAAGAACCTGGAAGCAACCTAGACGCCTCTCTACTGAAGACTGGATAAAGAAGATGTGGCACATTTACATAATGGGATACTACTCAGTAGGGGGAGGGGACAATGGAATCTTTTTAAAAATCTATTTATTTTTCTTATTTTACATATCGATCCCAGTTCCCTCTCTGTCCTGTCCCTCTATCCCTTCCCTCCCTCCCTCCCTCTCTTTCACCCTCTCATCCCCCCACCATCCTCCCATCCTCCCCCACTCCACACGTAGGGTGATGCCATCCAGGAGGGGTCATCTAAATCTGTCAAGTCATTTGGAGTAGGGACTAGGCCCTCCCTCTTGCCTCTAGGTTAAAGGAGTATCCCTCCATGGAGAATGTGCTCCCAAAGTCCTTTTGTGCACCAGGGATACATCCTAGTTCCACTGTCAGAGGTCCATAGACTACCCAGGCCTTCTAACTGAGACCCATGGGAACAATGGAATCTTGAAATTCAAAGGCAAATGGATGGAACTTGAAGAAACCACCCTGAGTGAGGTAACCCAGTCACAGGAAGAGGAACATGGCATGTACTCACTCATATATGGATTTTAGACATAGAGCAAAGGATCACCAGCTTACAATTCGCACCACCAGAGAAGCTAGGAAACAAGGAGGACCCTAAGAGTTTCATACAAGGTCCCTCATAGTACGGGAAAGACACAAGACCTCTTGAGCATATTTGGAGTGGGGGGCAGTGAGTGGAGAGGGAGTTAGGAGAAAGAGAAGGGGAGGAGAAGAGAACATGTCCAGGAAGATTGAGTTGGGGGATGAATAGATGAGAACAAGAAAAGAGATACCATAATAGAGGGAGCCATTATAGGTTTGAAGAGAAAACTGACTCTAGAGAAATGTTCAGAGACTGACAAGGATGACCCCAACTAACAATCTGTGCAATGTTGGAGAGGCAACCTTAAATGCCCTTCCCTGATAATGAGATTGATAACTAATTTATATGCCATCTTAGAGCCCTCATCTAGTAGCTGATGGAAACAGAAGCAGACACCCACAGGTAAACAGTGAGCCAAACTCCTGGAATTCAGTTGTAGAGAGGGAGGAGTTATGAGCCAAGGGGTCAAGACCAGACGACAGACACCCACAAAAACAGCTGACTGTACAAGGGGGAGCTCATGGATCCCAGACTGATAGCTGGGAAACCAGCTTTGGACCGACCCAGATCCTCTGAACATGTGTCTCAGTTAGAAGGCCTGGGCAGTCTAAAGTACCTCTGACAGTGCAACCAGGATGTATCCCTGGTGCACAAAAGGACTTTGGGAGAACATTCCCCATGGAGGGATACTCCCTTAGCCTAGAGACAGGAGGGAGGGCCTAGGCCCTGCTCCAAATGACTTGATAAATTTTGATGATCCCTCCTGGAAGGCCTCACCCTCCCTGTGGAGTGTGTGTGTGTGTGTGTGTGTGTGTGTATGTGTGTGTGTGATGGGAGGAGGAGTCATGGGACATGGTAGGACGGGAGAGGGAATTTGGATCGATATGTAAAATAAGAAAAAAAAACTCTTTTAAGCAACCAGAGTTACATTTTAAATTTATCCTCAATACACAGATGTATCCCAGCTTAAGAGTAATGTGTCTGATG